TTTTTTTTTTTTTTTTTGGTTTTTTTTGCAGGTGTGTACTGCCCATAAGTTTTACATGTACTTAACATAATATTAAGGAAATGTGACGCTACAGGAGATCTGTTGATGTCGTCTCAAAATGAACCTGGGGGTAATATCGATAATGTCAAGGAGAATGAGTGAAGATACGTGCCTGCAGGTGTGATTGTAGGACGTTCTATCACGTAGTTTCATAAATGCTCTTCTACCAAAACCTTCCTGACAGACTCCATGGACTAAAGCAGCGCGCCACCTATGCAATGCACTGCTGCTCGGCCATAGAAGCCGATACCATGAAGCTCCTGGTGGACAGTGTTTGTGCTAATGTTAATGCCAGAGAAGGTTTGGAACATTGATATTTGTAAGAGTTGTTGAAACAGTGAATGGGATGGTAAATGGACTGGTTCTTATATAGCGCTTTTCTACTCTCACTGAGCACTCAGCGCATTATACAACTTGTGCATTCACCCAATCACACAAGCACTTTATGTAAGGTTTTTTAGTGCTTCTATCTAATATTCACTCGCATTCGTGCTCCGATGGATGCATCGGAGCGGATAATAAAGATATTTGGCATGCAGACTAGAGCAGACTGGGATCAAACCACCAACCTTCCGGTGAGTAGGTGACCCACTCTACCACCTGAGCTACAGCCAACAGCGGCATCCCATTACAGCACAGCTTCAATTCAATGAGCTCTTTAGAACAATGTTTGCAAAGGCAGACAGCATGGCTAGGTGCTTGACTTTATACACCTGTAGGAACACCTGAAATCAAAGATTAAGAGCTTTACTTGTAATTAAATATCTAAAAGCAGGTGGGGTGTCCTTGTTACCTTTCGTAAAGCCAGAAAGCTCAGCACTATCAGCAAACAGAGGTCATCATACTCTCCTTACTGTGGCTAAACATTTCCCAGGCCTTCTGATCCAGTGACACATCACAAGGGCAATGGGTTAACTCCAAAAAATCCATTACACTTCAGGCCTTTATCACTACACTAATGTGCTTGAGTGCATCTTTTTAAATGCATTTTTTAAATTAATTGTCACTTGCAAAACCAATCATACCAAACCTGGAGACTGAAGCACTCATCCATGCAAAAGAGAATCGGAGGAACTGAGGTGAGTAAGAGCCTGGCAGATAACTTCCGCCCCAGGGCCTCCCAGCAGGTTAATCTAGCCCTGTGGGTTGCTTAGCACCTGTCCAGACATCACTTCCATACGAATGATACTTAGCATCTGTCCTTACATCTGCATGTAGCTTAACTTTACTTTTTATCTAAGGGTTTACTTTACATCCATTTACATGGATAAATGCAATAACAAGTAATGTTTTCGAGTAAATGTGGTTAATTTACACATTCAGAGCAATTTTTATCTCCATGATAATATTGTGGCTTTAAATAAATGCGGTGGATGCTGAGGTGGATGGAGTGATGCAGCTGAGGGTTATTTGGCTCATCAGGGGGCAGTGCGTAATTTTTGTGCTCATTTTGGCAGAAAATTGTGTTTTTGTTGCATCTTTGGATCCCATCACAAATTCAAGCATGGTGGGGTGTTTTTTTTTTTGGCTTCAGCTGGCATAGGTGCACACATCAGCCTAATTTAAAAAAAAAAAATTATTAAAATGTCTTGGTTATACTGGTTGGTTGAATATGGCCCCCTACTAGCATAATTTAAGGATGTATCTGCACATTATCAAACATGGATCAGAGCTTTTGGGGTCCATTTATTAGTAAGGTAGAACAATCTTCCCACAGGCAGCTTTTGTGGATTTTGAAGCTGATACAATGTTCCACACACTTCCTGTCTCTTTACCCTTTAAAACCTGCTCTACACAGATATCCTTTATTCTGTAAATTAGAAATGCCGCATTGCGTTTGAATGACTCTGCCAACCACTGAAGTTGCAGTCAAATGAAATTTTAATCATGTCATCCTGGAGGCCAAGTCAAAGTTTGTGCCAAATACTAAGAAATTCCCTGAAGGCATTCCTGAGATATTGTATCCACAAGCCTGGGATGGGCAAACAGACGACCTGAAAGCCTATTGCGTCTAATCGCAGCCACCGCCAGCCATGAAAAGGTTACGAAACTACAAAGTAAACAAAGTAAAAGAGTCATGCTTCCTGTTTGTGAAGCCTCTGTGCTCTGAAGTTACTGTCACAGTTTTGTGAACTTGATATATATTCCTATTTTTGAATAATGACTCTGAAACCACGATTGTTAAACTTACTTCTTGCACAGTCACGTCTACCTAAGCTTGACTTTGGCACTGAGACTGGCTCCATTTTGCTTACCCTGCACCTACGCTGACTATGCACCTTTAAAAGACATACAGAATTATTCATGAGTGTCTTCTGGGTTTATTTTTTTAATAAATATAAAGCAATGTGGTGTTTCGTGAAGGAAAGTACTTATTATAGGAATGACAGTCTATTTTGTTCTCCTGGTAAATCAGAGTAACATTAAAGCTGACATTTACATCATCAATTTAGGTTTTTTGCTTACAAATTTATTTAATTTTCCCTGTCAAGTTGTGTAAAATGTTAATAAAAAACAAAATGATTTACGTATCTTTAACCTTGATATTTAACTGTCAGTTTTTTTAAACTACAGGGTCATTTTTAATCTGATGACAGCAACATTTTACATTAAGACGCCATCATGTTTACTCTGTCAGCTGTTATTTTCTTTCTTTCTTTATTTTTAAGATGTTTCCGCTGTTTCAAACAGTAGCTTACACATGTATGGCATAAACATTTTGGTAACATGTTCGCTGATTATTCATGCCAAGCTGAACATAAACTCTGTTCATGTATGTTAGTTAATCTAGTTCACACCCAGTACAGGGCTCAACCCCACTTACATATAATTATAACTGCTCATTTAAATTTAGGCAGCACTCAGAGTCATTATGAAGGCGCGTCACTGACAGTCACCCAGAGGCATTTAGAGAAGATAATTGTGGGCCATCCCGATCCATGACATGAAAAATGTAATAATTGAGCAGACCAGTTGACGTGCAAGTGATAAAATATCCACGTCTCAGTCACTTTCAGAAAAATAACTGAAGGATGCAAGAATGCATCTAAAAGCTGCAGGACGGTAGCTCTCGAGGACTGGGATTGGGCACCCCTGATCTAGAAGATGCTCGGTAAGTTATTGTTACTCAGATTACAAAACATGAACACAGCAGTTCGATTACACTTTATTTACACTACCAGAGGCAAATAACATGAATTTCCTTTCAAATATTCTTTGGGCGTGTCAGCAAGCTTAAAGAAATCTACTCTTCTGTGTGTGTAACACTGCTTATTTTTATTTGGCCGGAGAAAAATCTATAATGATCTGCTTTTAAATGCTATTGCAGTGCGACAGCAGTAATTAAAGGCTTTTCTAAATGCTAAATCTTTAGAGCCGCTGTGGCTGTTCAAGCCTCTTGATTCAGGGAGCACCGTAAAATCTCTACAATCCCTGTCACTCACATCGTTACTGCCGAGACACGTCTAACAGTACTGTAATTAAAAATGCAGGAGCACTAGTGATACTGTTAATTGATTGGTTTCTATGGATTTGTGGCGAGTCGTTTGAAATGTGTCAGTACCCAAGACATCTGCTGATTTGGCTTGGAAAGAGTGGAATCATTATTAAAAACTGCCAAACTGGATAAGCTCATGAGTAAAGTTGCTTGCTTGATGCTTTCACTACTCGCTGTGCAGTGTGCAATTGTGGTTTTACAAGTGTTGATTTAGGCAGCAGATGGAACAGATGCCTGTGACCTTGGAATAGATATAAAGAGCTTGTGTGTACCAGTGTAAATAAACGATGTTCATTGTAGACCCCCTCTAGCTGTCGGCAACTGCACAGTTGTAAATAGTCTCTCATTAACTTGCCAAATAATGCTTGGACTGACCGGCTGAAAGTTTCCACAAACAAAAGAAAAGTGCAAAAGTTAGGAAGACAAAATGTTTTTGTCTTTTAGTTAAAAGTGGCCAAAATATTATGGGGCAGGTCCAATGCTAAGCAAGTCCAAGCGGCCGGGAAAGATGCATTTGCTCTGTGCACCAAAATTGCATTCCCTTCATGGATCGCCAAACGTCTGAGCAAAATGACCTGGTGCAGGTGTGTTTGCTGCTCGGTGCATTTTTCACAGGAAGAAGCGGAAGTGAGAAGTGTGAAGCGCTCTTTACATGTTGTGTAACACAAAGTACCTGGAATGAGTTGAAAAACAGCTCACAGTACATTCGGATTTCCCAGCTTGGTCCCTGATATGTATGAGGCATCCCAACGAAGATGATGTAGTGGATGCCGAACACCAGCACGAGCACAAGAGTGGACTTTGCCAGTTTCCTGCGAGGACACACACAAGACAGAGGTTCTAGTTTTCATACCGAAGTGACAGAAAGCAGCGTTACAATGTCCGGCTTAACAAGCGGCAAATTAGTTTGATGATTGCCAGGTTAATACTTTCTCTGGATGCAGAATTGGCAGTGATTTTTTTTTTAATTGCCAAGCATCTATTCTTCACATAAACTAAGCTAATTCTCCTGGCTCGAATACAAAAGTACAGGACAGGTTTTCAAACTTGTTGCTCAGGGAATGTTAATTAAGCAACTAGACTGCAGAACTAAAGTATACTTTTTCAGTTTATTTTTTAGGCTCAGTCTTGGGAGAACGTGCATAATAAATGATTTTAAGCAAACTCTGGGTCTCCGTTTCCCAGAGCATATAACAAGCTTCAGTCTCCACTTCTGGCTTCAGTGAGAATCCCGTTAGTTACCGTTCGTCTAAATCAAAAAGTGACAGATGTTTGAATGCATCAGATAAAATTACTTCTGTTCTGTTGGGACTTTTTCCTGGTGGGCATGTATTTGACCTGTTGTTTTTGAGCTCACTGACTAGAAATCAAACTGACAGCTTTATGAATGCTTTATAAAAGCGGGAAGTACCTCATGGTCTCAGCAATATGAACAAATACACGTTCCAGTCACTGCAGACGGCTAACTGCAGTCCATCATCAGCTCATCAACAACGGCACTGAAGGAAGTGTGCACAGTTTCACTCTCAAGCATTTAATGAACATTAAAACAAATACTGTTGTTGACTTATGCCAGCAAGCTGAATTACATGTGCACACACAAATGCAGTGTCAGTGCACACGCTCATTAAACAGTACAGACCTCCAAGGAATATACTGCTCAGGGATCAGTTCCATGCTTTTAATTTATGAGACCATCTGAGTTGTTTTGGATTGTACTGCCTTTTGTCCGAAAAACACACTGAAATGTCTAAACTGCCTCTAAGCTCAGATGAGAACTTCATGTAATGACTCATCCTGGAAAGTGAGGAGCAAGTTTGCAGCCTATTAAATTTCTATTGTCCCTTGTACACCCCCGGGGAGAAATGGGAACAACAACTCCAGTAAAGATTGCTACAGTCTGCAACAGAGGAGCAGTTTGAAAGTCACAGTAAATTAGATCATGCGATGAATTTGAAACTTTCTGACAAGATGCATAAAAGGCTGGAAATACAGGAGAAATCCTTGAGCTTTGAGGATTACTCCTAATGTGCTGTAGTGTGTGGCTCATGCCAGGATCACAGTTATAACTTCGCTTTTCATCTGTGACAGAAATATTATGCAGTAGTCGAAGTTGTCACATGCACATCATTTTGAATTTCCTGTACAAAAAAACAACAACAAAACAAAAAACAGAAAAGCTAGCAAGCTAAGAGCAGCTAACGTCCCTGCAGAACTAAAGTGGGTGCTCCCATATTATCCTGTAATTAATGAGATCTTTCTTTGCCCATCTGCTACATGTGCTTGACCCAGGGTTAAGAGGGGGATGTGCTTATGGTTTCCAATTGTTGGCAGGCAAAGCTCGTATGATTCAACTTTTCTTATACTGAGTGTCGGGGGGGGGGCTGTTAAGAGCCAGAGTTCAAAAGCACTCCAACGACTGTTTTCGTGACTTACAGGGTAAACGTTGGCTTTGCACTTCGTGTGCATGCATCATAACAGCAGACAATTGTTTCCTTTAATGTGACCATCGCTGCATAAATTGAAATCAAAACTTTAATTTGACTAATCATGTGCATGCATTTAAATCAAATGAAAAACAAATCTCATAATATTCTGCATGAAAACATCGATGCACCGGACATGTGAAAACAAAGAATGAGCCTTCATTCATGGAGGTAAAAAGGCAGATTTGGCGTGATCAAACACATAATCTGGAGCCAGTTTAATGTTTTTAGCAACAACTTTGTGACCTTAGAGGAAAAAAATGAAACAGATTTGTTTTTCATGTTTCATCTGATTAGTCCACCCACAGCATTCACGGGAAGACACTGCAGGCTTTTGCTCAAAATTCATCAGCACATATTTGGCATGGTTTGTTTCAATCAAATAAACTGATTAATTCCACGTGCAGCTTCATAGCCATCCTTTGAAGTTCTGCAATTATGGTCACTAAATGTATTTATTCAACCTTATAATCTACAGTTAGACTGCACTAACACAGATACAGACATGTTAATGTAACTGTTTCACTCGCCTTGTGAGTTCCTCAGATCTCGTCTATATGAATAACTGAAGGGACTGTGCATTACCATGGGGGCACATACGACCCTGGCTGTGATATGTGTTCACTGACTGATGTAAAGTTCCATTCATAGCCATCAGTTGCATCAGAGTTGTACCAACCTAAACAACTGCTGTGGCAGTATCACTAAAGACTGGCTCAGCAGACCAGAAACATGATCTGATCATCAGAGTGTGGAAATAAAGAAAAAAAACTTGATTTTCCACAGATTATGTTGCTGTGACGAAAGCGCTGAGCCTGAACGCAAAGGTGTTAATTTACTGGTCGATATAGACTCTGTTCCTGTTCTCAACTGCGGTCATGAGAATCACATCGCGGATACAAGCACTGGAAAAGGGCTTCCTCTGAAGGGTGCCTCGACTAAACTTTGGAGTGAGCGTTGCTGCTCCTTCACACTGAAATGAGCCATTTGAGGCGGTCTGGGCATCTGACTTGAATTCCTCCTGGAACCCTCCTACATGACGTGTTTCAGGCACTTTCTACTTAGAGGAGGCGTTGTGGTGGATCCAGGACCTGCTGGAGAGATTATATCTCTCAGTTGGATTGGGAATGCCTCACTGTCCTGGACAAGCAGAGGGAGGCATGGAAAAATTAGCTCACTTAATTTAAAGTGGAGGAAACCAGTGCACAGCTTGGTTCTAATGAGTTATAATGTTACTGTTGATCTCAGTATGTGAATCTTTCATCAGATCCCTTTCACATTTCCATTTTCGTAACTGCTGGAACAGAAAGATGACTAAGACATAGTTTAATGGACGTGTTTGTGTCAAAATCTAAGAATCAAATCAATTTTTTACTTGACTCTTCAATTTTGGTCGTGTGGGTTCTCATCTCCTCTTTTTTGGAGCTGGAAGAATAATTTGTCAACAATTTTTCCTGCTGAAAGATGAACTCCTTGTGGTCCATTAGCTAATGATTTTGTCTGAGTGTGTGAATGGTCTGATTCCGAGAAATAAGCTAATTGAAAGAAATCTACTAAAAGGATTCAAAAGGAAAAATTAATGGGCAAAAGGAAGAAACTGAGAAACTAAGAGAAAATAGCAAGAATGAAAAAAAGAAAGGTTAAGTGAGTAAAAAGGAAACAAAGATGAAGAGGATGAGAGAAAATGGAAACCAGAAGATGGAAGGGTAATTTGTTTGCTTTATAGCACAGAAAGTAAGGAAAAATTTCTTCAGTTGAGAGTAATTGACTTTTTGATGAGTTTGTTTTTTGTCAAAAATTACGAAGTGGTACATTTTAGTTTTTGTTTTGCTTGTGTTTTCTTTCACAACATTAGAAGTGATTTTAATTTTTTTATGCAGGTTTTTTTGTTTTGTTTTTTTTTTTACCTTTTTGGTGACTGGGATACAATGATAAGTAAAACATAAAATACAAAAGGAAAACTACAAACATAAACTGACTGGAACCTAAAGTGGCAATAATACTGAGGCCGGAAAACACTGAGAAACACAAAGGGAACTTTAATAATTTCAGGTTCCAACAAGGGACAAAGGGAGACTGAGACAATATGGGAAGGTGATTAGGACAAGTGGAGACAGCTGGAGACACAGCAGAGACAAATCAGGAGTAACAAGACAGGGGAAGCAAAATAAAATCAAAATAAACACTGAGAAAAAGACACACAAACTTCACTAAGACAGAAGGTAAACAAACAGAGACATGGCTGACTTCACAAAAAGACAAAACCTGGGGAAGAGACAAAGGGAACAGGATAGGCAATAACTAAATGGAAAGATAACAAACAAACACATGAATAGACTAAATACAAGGAACTGACAGAGGAGGAAGGAGACACGGTGAGACTAAATACAGGACACGCAGAAAGTGCAGACTCAACACACAGAAAGGGAAACAACAACACAAAGACAAAACTGACTTCACAAAGGTGGGACGCTAAGAAGGACACACAGAGACAGAGTGGACATGAAAGGGAATCAAATTACTGAGAACTGAGAAATATGAATAAACTAGCAAACAGCGGAAATACTAAAAAGTAGACTATAACTATAATAATGACTCAGATCTAGATAAACTAGATAAGAAACT